GCGCGAGGATGGGCTCCCAGGGCAGCCCGGTGAAGAGCTACGACTATCTGCTCAAGTTCCTGCTGGTGGGCGACAGCGACGTGGGCAAGGGCGAGATCCTGGAGAGCCTGCAGGACGGCGCGTCCGAGTCCCCGTACGCCTACAGCAACGGTGAGGCCTGCGGCGGCGGCGCGGCGGCGACAATGGTTGACTGAGAGGCCTGCCCGCCTGCCTGCCTCCCTCCCTGTCCTCCATGCTTCCCTGCCCGCCTCCCGCCCGCCTCCCCGCCGGCGCGCAGTCTGAGTTGTCACCTCCTGCCAGCGCGGGGCTGTGACAGGAGCGTGATGCCATCCGCAGTTAAGAGCAGGCCTCCGGGGGAGCGGGCCTGTGGCGTGTGCAGTCTGATCCTCTCCCGCATTCTCAACTCAGACGGAGGCCCAAGGCCGGAAGGCAGTTGTCGGAGCTTGCCTTCGGCTTGGCACTAGGGGCCTGTTTAGATACTGGCAGCATAGTCAGAGGCTGGAGCGTGGCCCATAGCCTTCTGGGCTTTTTTTTTTGAGACAGGGTCTTGCTTTGTTGCCCAGACTGGAATTCGGTGGCATGATGACAGCTCACGGCAGCCTTGAACTCCTGGCTGCAAGCCATCCTCCTGCCTCAGCCTCCCCAAGTGCTGGGACTGCAGGCACAGGCCACCACACCCCGCCTGCGGGTAGCCTTGCAGGAGGAGGCCTCCCATGGCAGGGTCAAGTCAGAGGAGCTTGGTCCCAGCCCACGCCCGCCCTCCCAGCCCAGTGATGACAGACCTTGGGAGGTGTATGAAGAAAGGGCTGTTGGGGAGCTGGAGGATGGCCCTGAGGGAGCATCTGTGGTGAAGGTGTCTTGGTGGCCAGGGTTCTGTGGGGTCCCGGCAGCAGAGCCTGTGACACTTCTGTGGTAGGTACTGCTGAGTGGTCTCATGACCCTGATGCCAGCACACGAGTGATGGCGTGCGTCTTCTAGGCCATTCCTTGGTGTTTATTTAGTGCTCAAGAGATCGTAGTATTTACTTGCGCTGGAAGAAAGGGCTTTGGTGATGATGCTGTTATCATTCCTTCTTACTCCAGGTATTGGGCTGGAGTGCTTGGCGTAGATTGCATCACTAGCACTTGCCTGAGCATGCCTCACTCTCTTTTTTTTATTTTTTATTTTTTGTTTTTTATTTTTTTGAGTTGGAGTCTCACTGTGCTGCCAGACTGGAGTGCAGTGGCCGCTCCCGGCCACCGCAGCCTTGACCTGCTGGGCTCCGGCGATCCTTCCGCCTCAGCCTTCCGAG